TGGGTATATGTGTTCTTTTTAGCGTTCCCCCAACACCAACACCAACATATGGTGGCTTTCCTTTGGGTTTGCCTTTAAAGCCAGCAAACCAAAAAGGGGGGTAACCTCGAAAAAGACAAACCCAGGTGTTGCTCGTGCAATTTAAATCCACGCGTCTTCGCCAGTTCTCGGTTTGAGCCCCCGAACTCTCACGATTTTCCCGACAGACTTGGGGAGCTTGCGGGCTGCGTCAGACTTGGGCTTATTTGTGTTGTTGTTTTGAGGGTGCCCTTTGCTTGAGGGATTGGCTTAAAGGGAAAGCAGAAGGAACACCTTGGGGGTCCCTAAACTCAGACACGCCCATTTGCGGCTTGCGAGTTGGGACCTTTGCACAGCGCTCGGTAGCGTATATCAAACCTTCGTTCGCTCAGAACAAAATCCCTCGCGTTGCGCGGTTTGTTGGGCAGTTCCTTCTTTTTTTTTGAGACCAGCTCGTGTGACTTGAAGATTGGAACCCTTGGATTGACAGGTGGGAAGGACAACAGATGTGTGTTCAGGAAGCCTTGCGAAACAGGAAGCCTCCTTCCACAGTCTTCTTGCACAAGACCCTCACCGTTTCAATGTCCGCAAACCAGGCGTTGAGCTTTGAAACTAGGTCCCCCAGTAGTCCCTTTACCCTTTTTTCGGGGGAGGGTTCCCCTACTAAAATAGACTACAGAAAAAAGTTGGTACCCTTATTCTAACCTCCTTTACTGGAGGACCTAGTAGAGGTTGCTTGCATCCCGCAGGCGCTCCGAGCCTGCCCAGATGGCGTCATACTTTGCGGATCGGTGGGGGCATGTGCGGCCCTTGGCGACTCATGAAGGCGGCAAAATAATTTATGTTTTCGAAAGAGATGCTGGCAGCGATAGATACGGCGGCATGGTAAACCTGGTTCAACTGCTAGTGAATCCTTTAACCATGATGTGTTTGTTTCACGTGGAAAAAACGACTGCGTGCGTTCCTGTTCTCAACCCCATTGAGGGGTGTGTTCTAAACAACGCCGGGTTGTTCAGATCGAACAAACACCAAACGCTGGTTGGCAGGGTGCTGGCTGGAAGGTGGCAGCTTGACTTTGTCAGGGGATTTGGTTGCTTGAGGCGGCGCTTGCTCGTTGTTTTTCCACAAGCTCGCAGATGCGGAGGGGCAAGACACCACAAAATCCAGAGGGGCGTTCCAGCCGATGTTTCGCGGTCGCCTGCAGGTTGTCTATGTTTGACATGTTAAAAGTAGGAACACTTTGAATTTGTCTTTTGGCACTTTGCGAATTGGGCCCACAAAAGTTGTGCACTTCCTACCGTTAGCTACCAAGTCCACTGGCGGTTTGGATCGGTTTTTCGGGCCTTGAACCGCGATGGAGAATGGGAAGGTAGACCCAAACCTCCAAACCCAGCCAAACCACAGCAACCAAGTTGCGTTTTTCTGCCCAAGAGGCGAAGAGGCGGCTAGCCAACCAAGTTTCGAGGACACAATTGAGTTTTGCGAAGGGGCGGCTAGCCGCGCAAGGAGTCGTTTCGAGATCAGCTTGTTTTCAACTTGTGGCTTCACCGGGGTCCCGCGCACATGCTCAAGGGAGCTTTCACGAGGTACCCCTCTTTTTCTCCAGAAGCATCGCCACCTTCAGTGTTTCGGAGCCATTTCCCGTTAAAGGGACTTCAAAAGTGGCGATCGTTTCAACGGAAACCACCAGTAGATTGTCCACTTGGAAGCCACCAACAATTTGATCAAACTGTTGCAGGGTTTCCAAGCAATTGTCCATTAATGTTGACCCAGGATGAATAAACACGTCCCAGTACTAGGGGGGGTTCCCTCCAAAAGTGATAAATCCCCACTAAAAGGGGACACCCCCGTATCAATCAAGCAGGGGTTTATTAATCGGGGGTTGACATGAAGTGGTTTGGATTGCTGGTTTCCGAGCCGAGCCTTGTCCGAGCCATCGGTTGCTGGTAAATCCGGTGACCCTTTTGGCTCACTTCCTGAGTTCATGGACTTAGTGCCACTTTGCCGGTTTGGACCATTTTAGCGCCAGACAAAGGCAGTGCGGTTTCTTTTTTTGGATCCAAGGATCGGAAATGAGGTGGCTACAAAACTTGGTGGTTCCCAGCCATCCTCTTAGCTTTTTAGTGGCAGGTGTTTCAATTCGGTTCCTTCGCCTTTCTTAGCTTTTCTTAGCCTTCCTTAGCCTTTCTAGCTTCTTAGCTTTTGTAGTTTGTTTTTTCCTTTTTCTCTTTAACCCAGCAACATGTTCAGCCTTCTAGCCTTTTCGTGTTCGTGTTTTTTGTTTTTTGTTTTTTGTTTTTTCCGTTTTTCAGCTCCATATCACCCGCCAAAAGTTGAGGCCGGCCTCGACGCCCGGCGCCTGGCGCCGGGGGTCCCCAGCGCGCCTGGCGCGATATGCCGCGGTGCCGTGGGGTGTTTGTTTGTTTTTTTTGGGGGGCCTATCGAACACATCAAGTCTTTGGGGGGGGGGGGTCGTTTTTTAGGTTGGACCCCCCCACACAACAAAAAAAAAGAGGGGGAAAGCCCAAAACACAAATCTAGTTGTCATGAATAGAATAAATGCGTGGTGTTCTTTTTGGTTTCACTTTGAAGAGACCACAGACATGGGGTACACCTCCCCACAAAAGACATGCCCTGGTCAGGACAATGGCCTGGCCTCAGGTTGCATTGGTGGGATGAGAGGGCTCCGACCCGATTTCGGGCGGAGAAAAGGCATAAGCCGCATGAGGATTATTGTTAATTCAACGCTCTGATACTCACTTGCAACCAAAGCGAAGCGACCATAGTTAATTTGTTTAATTGTTTTTTTGGGTTTCTACTGGGCACCTGGATGGGAGTGTCAAACCAGGAACCCCTCAGCTGCACAGAGTAAATTGACATGACTTCATTGGTTTGCTTTTCGAAGGACAGTGACATGCGAATACGGGCGACATCGGAACTGAAGGAGTTCGTCGTGGAATTGTAACCATCACGAGGGAAACAAACAGGAGACCAATGAATGTGGCCGTGGCTGAACAAGAATCCACAAAACTGGCACCTTGGCAAATGGGCCCAAAGACTTTGTCTCCTGTGTAACCCTATGAAACTGGAATTTTGAGACAGCCCCAGGTGTCAATGGCAACGACAAACTTCAAATCTCGGTTTTGCGCGGGTCACCAGATTTCACCCATTGCCGTTTGGTCCATTTGGTTTTGGGTGCGAAAGTGCGAAAGGACGCGATAAGCGAACCGGAACGAGGCTCGGCGGGGAAGACGAGTACCACTGGTGAAGCAAGCGCGGGTACTGCGGCTGCACCCCTGAATTGTGGCCAAACCTCCTTGTTCAGCAGGGCAAGTGCAAAAGGCACAGGGTCAACCAATGTTTTGAGGCCAACAAAAATCTGACGAGCTCACACTCTCGAAGGACAGTTGAGACCGAAAGGGCACAACATCCTGTTGGGTTCTCAAGTTAAGGCACACAAGTTGCAATACATGGCGGACCTTATTGTTTCCCCCTCAAACAACACACAGGCGTTTCTTGTGGGAAGCTGCAGCTTCGGAAGCTGCATGCCAAGCTGACGGAAGGAGCTCAGCTTGTGAGATGCACATGTTTCTCTCCTTTTGGGCTCATCATCTCCAAGTGCCAAAAATAACACGTTGTAGGTAACCAAATTGTAGGAAACCAAGGAGAACGCACCTTTTTAAGTACCAGAAGTTGGTTAGCTACTCTTCATGGCCATTTTGGACTTGAGTGTTTTGGGAAAGAAACAGCCCGGATTTTCCGAATTGGGCCCACAAAAAGTGATAAGCTGTTTGCAGAGGGGTCTCGCCAGCAACCAAGCCACGTAGCCCACGTAGCGCTCACGAAAGCTTGCGCACCAACCATGCAGTGGGACTGCAGTCCTCGATCCTGGATCTGGTGACTGGTTGGCTTCATGTTGATTTCCCAATGTGCCTTTCGCACGGTCCTGCCGTTGCGGAACCTCAACTTTCTTCCAAGACGGGGCCGGGAGCGTTGGCCCTCGAGAGCGTCAAGTGAGCCCAAAGCCGGCTCAATGGCCCGGGGGCAAGCCCCTGGCAACAATAGCCTCCAGCTGTGCGACCCGTAGACAAGCGCAAATCAGAGGAATCGATGGTTCGGTTGCTCCCCTTTTTGGGGTCCGGGATGATGTGGAGAGACGGTTTGACTCTTAGCACAAACCAGGAACTCGCTTGGGTAGGGGTGGGTAGGGGACTAACATGAACAGAGAAGCAGTTGGAGCGGTCCCTCGTTTTTGACGGCCATGGCACCTTCCACAAATTAAGTACGGGTCTCAAGTCCACGCTTGATCTATGGCCCAAATTTGCCAGAGGCGCGACAGCTAGTAGATGTCTGTGAACAGGGGAATCTGACTCCGGGAAAGGTGCCCCGAGAGAACTGGAATCTTGGTTGTTGCCTGTGGCCTTTGGCTCTCGGCAGTTATCAGTCAAGTGCGTGACGTGATCGGATCGAAGGATCTCTGCTTAAGAGCTCGCATGCATTGGTTCAACACACACACACACACACACACACGCACAGCATTCGTCAAGCCTCACCCCCGCCTTGTTCTGTCCGAAATTCGGGGGATTTAGCACATGGCCGAGGCAGGGGGTGGGGTTAGAGAATTGCAAGGACGATTTGTTGGTACGGTTGGGCCAGACAACACGGTTGGTCTGCCTTGGGACAGCTGCCCGCAGATCGCGACGGACGAGGAGGAGGAGGTGCTGTTTGACGGTGAGGTTTGCCTGCTGCCTAGAGGGCTTCTTTGAAACTCCTTTTGGTCCCGAAACCTCAAGAAAGGGAGGGGCGTTGGGTGGGAGGGAAGCCTTTGCTTTTGCTTAAAGGGGTGACGGCCGGAGAATATTTGAGCCGCCTGGATGTCGGAGTTGGCCTCACCCTGATTTTGCGGCATGCGGGTCCATGTCAATGTGTGGATGCAAGACGGCAGGGCTCGAAGTACCTAGCTGCCATCCCGCCAAAGCGGAATGATGCAAGCGGAGATGGGGCCTGATACCAAAAACTCGCAGGCCAGGGATTGCCTGTTGGGTTTCGGCTGACGTTGCCTCCATGCATCTCCATGCCTTTGTGCACGTTTTCGCGTGGATGCTGAGAAAATGCCAGGCATGCGCCGAATCCGTCATTCAAAAGTATGATTTCGCTTTCAGCGGCGCGGCCTGGCAGCGATTGATTTGCCGCGGCAGGGAGTTTCGGAGTGCAGTCTGCATGTTCTGCTTGTCTTCCATTTGCTGAAAGGAATATGTTTTAATTTTGCCCGGTTGGTTTTAAAGGGAATCTAGAACTCTTGGACATATTTTTGTTCCCAGGGGGCTTAAGCAAATGGAAGTGGTCATGTTCTGCTCTCGGGGTGTTGGTTTTGGGTCTCCTTCTGATGGGCAAATCCCAGTTCGCACCACCGGGTGAAGCCCTGGATGCACCACCTACTGGTGCCTGGGGCGGATCTGGACACAAATATGTAAATACGTAGATCATATATGTTGCAATATATTTACATAGAGATTGCTGTTATATAGATATATAGATATACCAACAAAGATAGATATGTATGAATATGGTTGGGTCTCATTTTGAAGGTGTGCGACAACTGCGACAAATCTATTCCTGTGGACTTGAGCGAGATGGACGTTGAGGCGACCCAGGCGGGATCGTAAAAGCGCAGAGCGTGGCCATGGCTCCCGACAACCCAGTCAGCAAAACCCCGGGTGGATCTTCTAAGGGAAATGGTCATTTCAAAGGTCCCCCAAATTTCTCGGGGATGGAAGCTGTTCTGGAACCAATCCACTTTTCGGGGGCTTCCAAAATAGCTGCCTTTGCTTGGGTTTCCCTAGAACACCCCCCCACCCACCCACAAAAAACACAAAGCAAATAGAAGGATCCTCAGAAAGACGAGCCACCCATAATTCCCGACATCAACATGGCCAACTCGCCCAGTCGGTGGACCACAAGATCTGGGGTGACTCCATCAGCCTTTGGAGGCGGGGTCGCACTAAGTGACGCCGATGCGAGGCGCCCGGCTGATTGGGGCGGCTTGGGGTCGTACTGTGGATGGTTGCGGAATCCATTGCGCACCACCGACAAGCAGACGAGCACGGAGCAACGAAACCCACTGACCAACGAGCCAAGGAGCAAAACATATCCAGGTTCCGGGCCCACCGGAACTCAGGAATCACGGAATTGGCTCTGAAAATCAGTGTGGAATGATGAGGCTGCCTCAAGTGCTGTCACCAGAGACCTGTGCTGATTGCAATTCGTCGGAATCCGATTAGACGCCCAAGGCCCGATCTCCTGTTGCACTGTGCCAGCCGCACTCAGAGCTTGTGCTTGAAGTTGAGCCCGCGCAGAAGCAAACTGTTGACGTGCTCAGCTCTCAAACTCCACGTAGACTGGCGATGTTTTCCAAGCACGGGTCAAGACTGACGATCGCATCAACCTCTGGTCATCGTCCGGGTCGGGTGAATTGCTCCACAGTGATCAGCAGCCTGTCATCCCTCGGGATAGGCCCATCAGCGCAGGCAAGACGGAAGCTCGCAGGCTTGGACTCACCAAAGGGTTCAACGGACTTCAGGTCACCCAGCGCGTGATTCGCATTCGGGTCCTCAACTTTTCGACCAGTGAAGCCAGAACCACCATCACGACTCCAGGTTCGCCTCGGATCACCTTGCCATCGTGCCACAGGTTTTTTGCGCTTGCCCCGTCTTTTTAGTTTTGGCCATACTGACCTTGAAACGAAATTCCCGCAAACTCCCATCACATCTTCTTTTTTTTCCGCAGAGCATGGGTGCACAGGTGGCAAGTTGCGAAGACTACCCAATTCCAGGTCAGCGTCGACATACCATAGCCCATGATCTTGTTCCCTGAGCCTAGCCGGCCACCGCGCAATCTCACGGCACAGAAATCGAAGTCGCGTGTCAATGCTTGCCGAGAGGGGCGCCACGCCTGGAGCGGTTGTTTTCACGGAGAGAGAGCAGTCCGCTGAAACACCGCCGGCTTGCTTGCTCGCCTGCCTCCGGTTTGTGGTTGTTGTGAAAGTCGCTGCCCGTTCCCTCAGTGGACGCTCAGCTGACTCCCGTGAATGGAATTGTGTGCCCCTTTGCGTCGTCGGGGCCCGTGTCATGTGGGTCCTCCCCGCATTTCTTTGCCTCTTGAGCATCTGGTCGCTTTAGTTTAACCGCCCAGCATCATGCAAGTAATTGCCCACCCCATATGCACGGTTGGGATTCGCCGGGCCTGCCGCGAATTCCTGCGCTATATCCGGTCACCTTGACCTATCAGCGCACTCATGGCCTGCGCATGTCATACCAGATCCTGTGGTTTCACCAAAGTGTGCGCCGTACCGCGAGCTACGATGAAGAATTTGCCCACGTCAATTGCCATGCCTTTGGACCCCGTTGTGTGTTTGACGAATGCCCGATCTTTCGCAGGCCACGGGGTACACGTACGATCTTGCAAGTTGCTGTCAGTCCCTGTGCGCCTCGGCGCAACAATGATGGCCATGCGTTCCTGACCCGCAGTCACCGTGTCCGCCATGTTCCTGGTGCCACCCGGACTGTGGAACAGGCTCATCCCTGCAACGGTCGGCGCTTTGTGGCTTGCGCGCAGAAACGTCCAAGCGTCGCGCGGTGTACGTGCTATTCAATCAGCGCCTCCACGGGCAGCCTTCCCTGCTCAGGCAGAGGGCTGCCCTTTCCCCCACCTACTTACCCACTGACTCACCTGCTCGTTCACGTTTATTCACTTACTCCTTCCGTCCCAATGTGGATCGACGTAGGCAGTTTCACCAATAAAGCTTGGCATTTGGGGTGATCCGGTCATTTAATTATTGGAGGGTGTTTCTTCTTCTTCCTCCTCGTATTCTTGTTATTGTTCTTATTTGACATTTCCTCCGCCTTCGTCTTCTTTAACAGGCTGTTCTGTTTATTATTGTTCTTCTTCTGTTTCTTCGTCTTGGTTTTCGTCTTATTTGTCCCCTGCTTCTTGTTTTTCTCCTCATGAGTTTTTGCTTGTCACCCAACTATACTCCACCCAAAGGAATCTGCAGGACAGTTTGCAGAGCGTCTCATTTTTTGGAGGTGTTTGGTAGCCGCGTGGCCAACTTGTGTGACATGGACTTGCTTCTACACGCGAGCTTGCGTTTCACAAATCGTTTGAGAGAGCCACTTTGGACTCAGCGATCTCAGGCGAGCGACGATCGGAGTTCCACTCAACGGATTCTTTTTCGGCTTCTTGAGCGGCTTGCTGGGTGGCACCGGGTACGGCTACTCGGCGCAGAGCACCTGGAGAGCGCCCAGAATCCGGAGCGCACAGCCCTGGTACTTTCCACTTGCTTGCTGGTGCTCAGGGAATGACCCAGGGTGTTGAGAAGGAAGTGGAAGGGGTTTCCCTTAAAGGAAACCATATAGGATTGCCTTTTTCAGGGTCATTCCCTCATTTTTGTTGAGAACCAGCAAGCTTTTGGGGTGCGCCGGTCTCAAGACTCCAGGCTTCTTCTTGGGGTATCTCGGCCTGGACCCCTATGTTTTGAGACTTGGCGGCAGCTGAAAACAACCAGCACCATTTCCACAAACACCATCACCACCGCAACATGCACATTTGATTAAAGCATAGTTATATACATGATCATGATACAGTAGATCAATACATGCATCATGCATTCCAACAGACATCGACAGTTTAGTGATTATTTCAAAGCAAATAAGTAACATTGTCACCAGTAATCGTCCTGATGTGCGGAGCCTTGAGCCTTGCCCAGATGTGAAACTCTGCGGTCAAATAGGGAAGAGACAGCATTTCAAAATGTCTGCAACCATGCGCCTTGTTTTGTCCACACACGCAGGTGTACCAAGGTGCCAATTTCAGTAGTTTGAGCCACAGCCACATTACTGTTGGATGCCGGCGGGTTTTCATCAGGGCTGCGGCCGGCAGCATCATGAAGCTCCCCGCTGCTTGGCAGTGATTCCTTCTTCGTTTGCTTTTTCCGCGTGTGTTTTTGGTTTTCGGGCGAAAACGACGGCAGGAAAGCGGAAAGTGCTGGGTGATTGGTATCGATTTCAATTGCTCACTTGCCCAGAGCCGACCTTTTAACCTTGGTTTTCCTGACTTGGCCTATTTTAGTCATGGCCCCAAAAGGTAAACCTTTTATTTCTGGGTCCCTAAAAGGCAACTGAGATTAGTTTCAATTTGTTTGGGTTGTTTGGGTTTCAATTGGTCACCTTGGTTTTACCTGTTTTTCTTGGAGCTGGTTTCAGCTGGTTTGTTTGTTGCTTTGTGTTCGAGTCTGCTGGTTGCTGTTTGTTTAGCTGGTTGCCTTCCTTGCTTTTGCTTGTGTGTTTGCTCTTGCTTTTGCTTTTCTTGCTTCGTTGCGCACATTGAACCCTTGCGCTGCGAGGGCAGGGATGCTCCTGAGCCAATTGTTGTTGGGTGTCAGCTTCTGCCCAGAGTGCTTACATTTTCCGGTCGGGAAGGATCATTGCCATTTCAGTTTCATTGCCCATTTGAATCGGGTTGCATTGTTTTGCTGGCAAAGATTGGGGCAGTTCCATGTTTCGGAGATTCGGATTCCACGGGTTCCGAAGACCAATCGGGAGGCTCATGGGGTGGCTCTGCTGTTGGCATCTCTGGCAGCCAATTCTTGCATCGCTGTTCCTCGGGCCTGCTTGTTTCACCTCTCCTTTTGGACCCCTTTCTTTCTCCACCGTACCCTGTAGGTTTTGTGCAATTTGTGCGCTTGTGCTGGGGTCACTCTTGGTTGGATTGGTTGGGGATTTGAATCTCCGGCACTTCTTGCGGGTAATGCTAACCCCGGATCAATAAACCCCCGGTTGACTAATAGGGGGTGTCCTCTTTTTGTGGGGTTTATTAATCCTGGGTCAACATCAATTACATGTGAAGCTACCCTCGACGGCGTCAACTCGCTGGCAAGGAAGTGCTCCTCCTTCCGCTGGGGTACCTCAACGACAAGGTGCCAATCCGCGGCTACCGCAGGACGGAAGATTTACTAGCAATTCGAGTACGTCAATCTGCGTCAGGCAGTTGGTAGGTGGCTTCTCCCGGTATGCATTGGGTTTAGCTTCCCATTTGGTGCAGGATGTTGCTCCCATCGCCTGCTACTCCCTGCAAAAGCAAAACGACAACTGCTTACACGCCCGGCTTCCCGTAGCCTCTCACGACCCTGGGTTGTTTGGGAAGCCTCTTGGCATACCAAAAGGCGACCAGGCGGGTTGCTTGAAGGTGACGCGGCCGATGCGCAGGAAGTCTTACATTATCATCTCCTGGATCATTTCCTTCGTGGCATTTCTGGTGATGTGCGGCTCAGCTAAGAGGAGCCAGTTGGCTTTTCCGGGGCGGTTTGGCAGGAAGTGACAGAAGTCTGACTTCACAAGTGCAAGTGGGAGCTTTTGATGTAGCACGTCGTGTTTGTTGGTTCAGGCCTTTTGGACGATGCGTGCGCCAAATCAAGGTTGGCCGAGGCTTTCGCAGCGTCCGCGTGGCGTTTGGACAGTTTGAAAGATGAGTCAATGAGCTCACCTGAAAGGCAAATGAGAGCTGATGCATGATGACCGCGCCTTACCTGTTTTTGTCATTGAGAGGTTTGTGAGTTAGCACTTTGCCCCGATGATTCTACTGCTATTGGGTTGAATCTTTAGACTTCAACTTTTTGGATGCCGCTCAGACTTCCTTTCAACCTGCAAGTGAAACTTTTTGCTGGGGATCCACAGCACCCAAGATTTGTTTGCAAAGTATGAGGGTGAGATCATTTGAAAAAGCGCGGGACAGCACACCTGAATATTGAGCAAGCCTCTCCCTGTTTGTTACAAAAGCTTGTTGGTTATTCGAGATGAGGTCAGGGTAAAGAGTCGTTACTGATTTCGAGGCAATTTCATGGTCCTTCAAATGAGTACAATACTGAGCCCGCGTCCACTGCGCAAGGCACCCATCCTTTACCTGATCCCTACTTCTGCCGGGGCGCCGATGGAAGTTCCGCGAAGCATTGGACGCCGCTTTTGGATGGCCGGCAGCGTGAGCTGTAGTGACCTTCCCTGCGCGAACTCTTGGCCATTGAAACCCCAAGACGGGAGGGCTTAAGCGGCTTAAGGGTACGTGACCGCCACGCAAACTTGCTGAACAAATGATTGGCATACAGGGGGTATCATGGGTGCACGTGGTCAATCCCAGCATGGAACATGTGACTTGGCGGAGTGCCGAGGTTACGACTACACGGTTCCACCCTGCAATCCGGGAGCACATGATCAAAAGAGCTATTACATCCTGCCCATGGCAATGATATCTTTAGGCTCGTCCGACTCCTGAGTTCCGTTCCCTGACCCCTTGATTGAAGGTGAGTGGCCAGAGCCTTTGGTCAGTTGGGGATTGGGCACGGCTTGTTGTTTTGAGGCTCGGTACCCAATTCATTCCTTTGTCCGAGTCGTCATGATGCATCCCATAAGGTCTGATTCATCGATAGGAGTTGTGCAGGAGTTTTGCTTGCCAAAGTCCTGTGGAACGCCTGGTCCCACATGTGCCATGTGCACTGCGCCATGTTAGCAGCAATTGCACATTGCTTTCTGGGCTTGGCCTGATTTGGTCCTGACAAATCTCATCAATGCGCTGCCGCGGGGATGCAACATATGCACTGGCCATTTGAGGTATCTTGAATCGCTGTGCAAGAAAGAGCCCCTGAGAACACTCAGGCCCTCAGGGGGGTTCCTCAATTTGCCCTGTCATTTAAAGGGAACCCCGACAGAAACCACCATGATGGTTAGGAGACAAGCCCAGTTGTCGCTGACCTGCTCTTGCCCGCACGTTTGGTGAACGAATTGGCCCCGCACAAGAAGCACAAAACGGTCCTTTTTCCCATGGGCAACCGGCCAAGTGCCCTTTTGGATCTTCCTACGCACTACCATCTTTCTGTACCAAACATATACAATTTTCAGCTCTGTTCTCGGCATTGGTTGACCTTCGCACAACCAAAGCCCCGGGAAGTCCAGCAATAGTTTCCTCTCGAACCATAGTTCCTCGCTGCTTTAGGAAGCCCATATGGGAAATTCGGGAAAGTCGGGTGTGGGCTTGGCCGCAGGCTTCAACATGGCAACCTGGCTTGCAAGTTTATTTGCCGCGATGGGGAATAATTACCAAAGTTGATTGAGTTTCCTTTGGATGCCTTTTTGACATCGTGACCTCACCAAACAATGGTTTGCGGCATGATGTCTTTAGGGTCTGTTTCGTACTTCAGGCTGGCAGGAAAAGGACATCCAGCCTCAAGGATTACCGTCTAAAGGCGCAAGCATGCGGCGATTTTCCCTTGACATGTTGGCTTTGGCCGATTGGTCCCCGCTCCAGCCGGGGCGAAAAACAAACGGAGCGGTTTTGGACTTGGCCCCGACCACGCTTTGCTGTCCTTCTTGGGGGAAACGAAGTGGTTTCATTACTAGTTGTAGTGGCACTGCAGGCAAATGGAAGACTTTTACAGCACATAGTTGGAGAAAGCTGACTTGCCACGGTTGATTGACCCTACCGTAGGATGTGAATTTGTGGTCAAAAGTTTTTGAGCATTTGGGTTCACTTGTGGGGCAGAAATATTGTATTAGGAGGCACGCAACCATTAAGGAACATTTGTCGAGGATGCCCTTGTGAGGCTCCCTTGGCGGTCGGCCTCGTGATTCAACGAATATGTCGGGTGGGCATTCAGCTTGTTCGCTTTTTTTGCCAACATCTCCCAAGTGATTTCTCGTTTCCCTGGTGCTTGGGAAGATCAGCTTAGCAGAAGCTGTGGACATTTTTAAAGACTCGGGACGGAGGCCTCCCAAATTCCAAGTTCAAAATGTGCATTTGCTGACAAAAGTTGGTTAAAGGGAAGCGACAACGGAAACAACAATAAAAAAACACGGAAATCCCGCTGTAAGGGGCGGTACCGGAAAGGAGGAATAAAAAAAACGTGGCGAGCCATGTGTCTCAGGGCTCCGTGGCCAACGAAGGGCTCCTCTTGGAGTGGGGGGCCCCAGCCGGGAGTTGGGCCCAACCCATGGGATCTCAGCGGTTTCTTTCAGCCCGAACAACACGTATACCGTATACCTTCCATTTGTTTAAGAGTTTGAAAAAATAATAATAATAAAAGTGTTGGTTTTAAAAGGAATCGATCACTACTGGAAATATAGTTCTTCCAGGGGGCGTAAGCAAATGGAAGCTACCCGTTGGTCCTAGTGCGTTCTGTGGATGGTCCCCGTGCGTTTTGTGGTTGGTCCTAGTGCTTCTTGTGGTTGGTCCTTTTTGTGGTTGGATTAAAGAAGCACTCCCAGCTTGAGCTTGAGCCAACCCAGAAGTTGCCTTCGATGGTCTATCCACAGGGGCTTTGGAATCACCATGCATGCCAATTCATTCTCAGCAGTTCTTTTTCATTTACCGTCATTTACCGAAGTTTTATGGTTGGATGTGATAGGGTCCGTTGTACAAAATCTGGCATCCGCCGTATGTTTGTGGGTTGAACAACTCGTTTGCTTCTTGAGGTATTCGCAGCTCGAGCCAAAGGAGAAGCGCGGGACGATCAAAGCCGCCCGGGGGCCCGGGGGTGAAGCTGCAAGGACGGAGCTGTTTTCCTGAACCGAACAGTTTTACTTGCAAAGCAAGCCGATCGCATTTCACGCGATCTTGAGTCAAGGTTTCAAAGGCTACTTTTGCAGGGTGGTGTGAACTCGCACCCCTTTCCTGTCAGATGGCTGTCCCATGCGTAGGCTAGTGCTTCAGCCTGCTCTGCTCATCCCAATGCTGTCAAGGGGGACCCTTTTCCACATTGTGAAGTGAAGTTCGCCATTGGCGGATGCTGAGCACCTGCAGCCTAATGTCTATGCAGCAATGCTTGTGCATGTTGTGATGCCTTCAGACTGAGGGTAGTGGCAAGTTGTTCCAGTCAAGGTTCTTGAGTCAGTTGTTTCCAGATCCTTGGGTAAAGGAGTGGTTGCTAGTGCCAAGTGTTGACCAGCAATTTGTTTGGGGCTAGAGCGCTGGCGACTGGGTGATTACTTTAGGCTCACCACATGTATTTTAGCATTTTTTGGGAATCATCATTCCAGGTTCTGCTTGTTGGTCGATGAGTCGACCAGATTCTTCAAATCAGAGGTAAGGAGCAATGTTTGTGTTTATCATCCCTCACTTGTATATCTCCAAAATCGAATTTGCAAGAGTGGCTTGCACAATCCTGGCTACTCCCACAGTTTGCCCAATCTTCCCCAAAGGGAAACCAAGAAACCCGCACTCAATGGGGGTCACTGATTTTTCCAGCTCGCTTTGCACACTGGAAACGTGGTGGGGGGGGTCTAGGCCTTCGGCCAATTTCGGGATGCCCAGCGTACTGCAAAGGGAGCAAGGAAACCCTCGAATCCGCATCTGGGCATGGGTCAAAATTAACCCACCAGGGGACTGCAGGTGTTGGTCTTCGTTTTCATTTGCCAGGGTTCCATTTTGGGTACCTATTTTTGACCCAAACCCATTTCACCATGGTTTGGCCGGATTTTTCGTATGGTTGGTTTACTGGCAACCTGGGGTGGGTGGACGGTCCCTTTCTTCGGATCCGTGAGGAAATGACCATGGTGACCACTGCAGGCAGGACAGAGACGACGCGTAGGTCGGTGACAGTTTCGTTCAGGACTGCAATCTAAAGATGGCAGAAGTCTTCCCCAGTTTGGTCCACCCTTTCTCTGACTAAGATAGCATTTGTGGGAGGAAACCTGGAAGACCAATTTCCTCCAGGGATCCTTTGTAAGGTGCTATGTTAGTGGGCGGTGTCCAGTATAAAGGGCATGTTCTGGTATGGGGGTTGGAGGTGTGGAGGTTACGTGCAAATGTCGTTGATAGTAGCCATGTACTTGCACTACTGGAACTCTCGAAATATATATATATATATAATTCCCGAGGGACCTTCATGGGCAAGCGCGTGTCCTGGCTGAACTTGTTCTATCTACAGGCAGGCGGTAGGCTTACCCCAGTCGAGGTTTCAAAGTAAGCCCTTGCAAAGGGTGAAACAAATGCCACAATTCTCTTGATTGCAAGTAAAGGGGATGAGTACGGAGAAAAATAAGACAGTTGTGATTTGTAGCAATTTCCCCAGACATCAGCTGTCCCAAGATTACAATGAACTGGCAGGCTAGAAGCTCGGCCATGGATTTTTGCTGGTTCCTTGCAGTTTGTGAACCGTCTTTTGTGCCCTCCAACCGGCTTCGGGCCAATTGCCTCCGGTACTGGGGGTTCAGGAGGTACCCAGGAAAGGGGATGATCGATCAAAACGGCTTCCTTTCTTTTGTGAAAGGATAGGCGAAACATGCCAGCTTGATTGGAAGAGCAGCGCATCAGTTCCATGACAATGCGCAAAATATATGTGTCTTTTGTTAAACCAACTGTTTTCCACTGGCTCGTTTGATGAAGCACAAGTGTGTCCTGGAGGCGCATCCTACTTAGCAGCCGGTTGTTGGCTGGGAGAACAGCACCAATGCAATTGTACCAAGAATGTCGTCTCGGGCATTTCTTGATTCAGGTGGAGTAAGAGGGGGTGCCGAGAGTACCCGGGAGGCTGGGTGTTTTTTGATCAATTCAAGAGGAATCCGATCGAAAAGTGCCTTCCAGGTGTTAGTGGGAGGACATACCCATCCTCCCACTATCAAATATTCGCCGAGGCCAGTTGGCCGCCGCCCTCTTCATCGGTTGCTTCATGAACGGCAAGGCTCGCGCGGGCCATGCGCTGGCGCGTGCATTAGACCTGAGCGAAGAGGGCGAAGACCATCCCACCACCCACCACCATACCACCACCACCCACCATCCCACCACCCACCATCCCACCATCCCACCACCCACCATCCCACCACCATGGGGGGAACATTCAGACCCTTCCAAACTTCCGCCGAAAATCCCCCCCCCCGGTGAGCGAAGGAGTACCTGGGCACATTCGACTGGAGCTTGGACTTCAACCACATGATGCTCATTGCGATGATCTTGGTGCCTTGCCATATGTCTTTCAAATTGCGGGAGCCCGCCCCTTGTTAAACAAAAACGAACTGAAAAAGGGTCCTCAAGAAAGACACACTCCGAGACTCACCAGGTCCACCACCTGCAGTTGCTTGAAACGTAGGGACTCAGAACCTGCTTCTTGCGAGAAGCGGTTGGCCCCTTTTTCTTGCAGGTGTTGGTCCAGATCCCGCTGACAATGCCGCCCGGAGAGCAACTTCAAGCGGGCATGCTGATACCAGACAACTAGTCTGCCGGTTTTTGCCTTTGATTTTTTGGGGGGCCAGGAAAAGGGAGCTTTTTGTTGGCAGGGTGACTTTTGAAGAGAACTTATGGGGGACCTTGCCCGTTTGGGCAGCTGAGCATCAGAAACGGCACATTGCATGGGCATGCCATGAGGTTCTTTGTCTACGAGCCGCAGCAACGACAGATCCCGGCCGCGAGCGTCACGACATCGTGGCAGCTGGCACCGCGGCTTTGAAGAGCCGGCGCCTCCAGGTTTTGTTTTTTTTTTGGCTGCTCCTTTTCTTGGCTAGAACGAACGATCCAGTGCCGTAGGCTTTTCGTTGTTTTTGGTTCCCAGTTGCCCAGCGGGTTGCCCTTTTCTCCTTTTTTTACAGTCAACCACCCGAAAAGGATGCCCTTGTTTCCCATGGCCACTGGGCATCTGAGAGTTGGTTGAGTCGTTGGGTTTCAAATTTTAGCCCGCTCAAAGTTTTCGACTTTTAGCATCTGAGGACTAACGGCAGAGAACCCTTAACACACCTCAGCACAGTTGCTCTCAATATCAGTTTTTCCACTCTGAACCCTTCAAAAACCAACCTAACCTAAAAGTGCAGCACCCTCCAAGAGTCGATTCGCCGGAATGGGGAATCCAAATCTCGGAGCGAGCACGGCATGGCCAGAGGCCGGTTGGCATCTTCAAACTCCGACGCCTGAGGTGAAGAGCTCAGCCTTTGTGGCGGTCCTGATGTTTGCCTTCGGCACCCACATGATGGCGCCTCAGCAAAACAAAATTGAATGGCACCCGAAAAGCGGGCGGGAGAAAAAAGAACGCGGAAGAAAGCAAAGCAACAAACAGGAGCTGGGCGGACCGCATGCAGCACAGGTTCGGAGACTGGATCATGGGTTGCTTCTGAGAATCGAGGTTTCGTTTACTCAGATCAGTCTTGAAAGTTGCCGGATCGGCTGGCCTTCAAACTGCCATGCGAATCAGAACATGTTTGCTTCCAATTGCCTGAGCCTTTCTTGGAGGCTTAGAGGTTTTGCCGAAAGCGGCCTAGAGGCTTAGACTTCGAGGCGTGTGTCAAGTTTCAGGCCTCTTTTCCAAGCGCGCTGCTCATCAATACTTGGGTAGATGACACAGCTTGCCCATGCAGGCTTTGACACCAATGGGAATAGTGTGAGAGAAGCCCCGGACAAACCCTGTAATGGTTGACAAACTTCAAAGCCACCTACCAACTGCGAAGCAGGTTTTGTCCGCACGGCAGGCGTTGGGTGGAAGATGGCTCATCCCCTTTACTTGCCCACATCTACCGGGACCGGGAAATGTGCCATCTACTTTCACTCTGGTGCACCCCTGCGTGATTTGGTTTCGAGGTGGCTAAAGGGACCTTGCCGCCTGCCTTTGCTTAAAAAGGGGAAGCACCATGGTTCGGAGCTTGTTTTGCCCCCCCCCCCCCCCTCACCCCCCCCCCCCTCACTTCAATCTATCTCCTTTTTTGTCGTTTGCTTGTCGTCCTTCTTTCTCTCACTCTCTTTCTTGTTTTACTTATTTCTTTTTCGTGGCGTTTCCGTTTTTTGTGCTTTTTTTCCCGTAAATGTTTCAGTTTCTTTCTCTCTCGCTCTCTCTCTCTCTCTCTCTCTCTTTCTCTTCCTTTCTCGCTTTCAATATTTATTTTTCTCAATTCTTTGCTTTCGGTTGATGGTTCCGCATGCTTAAACATGCTCCATCACAAGTCGTTTCAGGTTGACCCATCCGAAAGTCCGCAAGCGGAGCGAAACGCGTCAAACCAAAACACGGGTTTTGAGGGTCGACGCCAAAAGTCCGCAGAGGGCTCACTTTTTGAAGCGAAACAGTGCGCGCGGTCGTACGCCAATGGTCCCGTCTCCAAAGGCACACTGCGATACTCTGCGCCCGCTCCGAGACCGGTCCCCTCAATTAGACACACTTGCCATGGACTTGAGTTCACGCACAGTGCGAACGTTTTCGGCCGCTGCTCATTCCGCTTTCCAGCTTTTTCTTTGCTTTTCACGCGAAGTGCGTCCTGTTCCTACATGCAGATCATGCGCAAGAGCTTTCGCTTTCCTAAATACACAGAAAGAAGTAGCCTCAAGTAGCTCCAGTACTATAAAGCTTCCTTTGACAAGGGGGTCAGATCCCAATTTGGAGACACTTCCACCTACTGTAGATGAGGTTCTCCAAAAGCAAAGTCGTGCCCCACCTTCTTACCTATAATTGGAAAGAGGGCACAGATGAGTATGCATCGCATTCCTGGTAGTCAGGGCCGGGGCCGGACAGATGACTACACTAACATGGAACCTGATATTGTCCTTTAAACGGGAACCTCATGTTGATGGACGGAGGGTAAACCAACCATAGGGGGACAACTATTCTGAAAGCAAGCCACATGTTCGAACGACTGTTTCCGCCCCCCCCCCTCCCCCCCCCCCCCCCGCAATTTTGTCAGCACAAGAAATAGACTGAAGGGTGCCCGCGTGCAGCTGGATGACTACCCTATGAATAGGAGAAGGTCTGTAGCACTAGCCTCCCTTCGTTTCTTTGGCCTCGTAATTTTACCATGGTCAAAGTCACTCCCGAAGTCCCCGTGGTGCGGTGCGAGGTGGGGATTTCGACCACAGCCGCCCCCTTGGTGCGCTCCCAGTGGGCGGGGGTCAAAGTGTTGCAACAGCAGCGCCTTGGCGAACGAGAACTCCGGGTGGGTTTAACCTTGGTTTCCATGGGGTAGGCCAACCCAGGGGTCCCATGGGCCCAACCCTCTGGTTTGCAACACATGTTCAAGGAAGGGGACAAGTTCACAGGCCGCCTGGGAGAAGGAGTTGGCTGAAATGAAGATGTGTTTTATTTTCCCTGGTTGGTTTTACAGGGAATCGATTGCTGGACAGATGTTCAATCATTTTTCCCAGGTAGGTTAGGCAAATGGAAGCCATGGGGTGGGTTGTTCAAAGGTTTACGAAGCCACATGGTTCGCTCCAGTCAAAGTGAGGCTTTTTTTTGGGTGATGTTTCAAGTTTCAAGGGGAACGCTCCCGTTGAAGTGAGTTTCTTGTTGGGGTGATGTTTCAAGCAAAATTTGGGAGACCCAGCTTGAGGGTGTACTCATGGAGTTAGCTTAAGGGTAAACAAACAGCGGAAACTGTTGCTAGTTTAATTTTGTTTAACCTAGAATTTCCAATTTTAGTGGTTTGAGATATCATTGGGGCCAATTCAAAGTGAGTTTCCTTTGGGTGGGGTGATGTTAAAAGGGCCTCCTCCACAATTTTGTTTGCATGTTTTAGCAACTATGGACCAGAATCTGAACAGAGTTCTTTTCGGGGCCGTCCCGTTTTGCAGAGACATACGGAACCCCTCAACCCCCCTCTCAGAAGCCTTTTAGAACTCCTTCCAAGAAGGCTTTGAGAACGTTTCCTGTGGTGTACGGGAACACGCCTTTGGTTTGCTCTACATGTTTGGATGCCTTTAAAAAGCAGAACCAAAGTAGAGCGGCCACAGCATGTCACAGCAAAGTGCTGAAATCCCGGCAAGTTCAGTGTGACAAAGTTGCTTCATGGCCCGTGCGGCATGGCGATGTGGGGGTTGAGGTTTTTTGATTGGGTCAAGCACCTTGTCACAGGGTGACCCATGTCAGGCATTTTATGCAACGTTGACATGCTACCATCAGACTCACATGAAAGGGCAGCAGTGATTTAGGGTTGGGGATGGGTGGATGAAGCTCAGGTTGTATGGCACCTTGGCTGCACGCAAGATATGCGCAAGACGGATTTCTTGCCCTTGCCGCACATCTGGTGCATGCGGTTGCTTACGCGCATTTGTTCCCAGGCCAAGAATGAAGTTGTCGCACGACTTATGCCTGAGTTGTTGAAGTCGGCCCGCAGGAATGGTCAGCATGGTCATGACCGTGTTGGCAGTCTGGTTTCTCAAGGCGCGGGGCCCAGTGACCATCCGCGGAGTGACCCTGAAAACGGGTGAGTCCAATTGGATTTGGCTTTCTTATCCGACTCAGCGGTCGGATCTGGCCAACCCCGGTACATTTTAATGAATTCCGAGAATCGCAAATGGGGAGAGAATCCACTGTAGGCCACCATTGGGCCATGTCTGACAATCGCAAGGGAATCTGTTGAGAAGGCCCGGCAAAACCGAGAGCCACATCCTCTCACTTTGACCTCGAGGCTATACTTTGCTGACTCTGATGGCATGTTGAATTGTTTCTGGGAGTACTCTTTTGCCGGTGGTTTCCACTTATTGGAGGCCGATTTCAAAATAAGCATGTTTTGATGTGTGTCAACCTGCTTGAATCGGTTTCGTCCAAACGTGGCTTGGGGCCACCTTACAAGCCCGGACCCTTGCGAAAGAAAGTCTCAGCCGAAGGGTGCGCGATGAAACATAATTTGTCTTGATTGCAAATGTGTAACGGATCTTCAGACTTTCACTTGTTGGTTGAAATTTGAGGGGTTCTTGCCCATTGAGCCCACAAAAAGGTCTCAACTTGTGCAGAGGGGTCGTTGCGGCAATGGTTTAGTGGGTAGTTTCAACACGAAACCCGCTAAAAGTTGGGGACCTTTCGCAAAGGACCTGAAACCGGACAGCCCAGGCTTCGCAAGGCTTTGGGTGAAGGGAAGTAGAGTCCAGCCACGGCCCGAGCAACAAGAAGCACTCCGGAGGTGGAAGCCACCAGCAGTAAGTGATCAACGTTTGAAGGGGAAATCCAGTGAACCCTGAAACACCCCGGAACTTCTGGTGACGTGCAAACCAACCCCGATGATTTTTTGTTTATTGTTGGACCCTGTAGGCCTACTTCCTGCAGACAAGTTGGCGCAAGATCTTCTACAGTTCATGTGTCGCTGCAGTGCTACTGGATGCGGCCCGGGGCCCTAGCCACGGACGGGGAGGGGGGATGGAGGTGGGTGTGTGTGTGTGTGCTTGCCGCAAAAGAAGAAAAGACGTGTTGTCGAAGAAATGTACCACCTCCACATAACACATCATGTTTCTTCAAGATGAGTTGGACCATATCAATCGATGTTTGCTTGTTTTTAATGATTGGTTGGACGCTTGGAAGACATCACTCAGACTCAAATTCATCGGCAATGGGAAGAAAACCATCGATTACCGGGGGAAAAAAAACGACTGACGCATGGGGCATCTCCGACAATGGATTTTCACAGATGTGCTGTGGTCAAAAGTTTTTTTATTTCTTTGGCGGGGGGGGGGGTTAAGAAACATTGTCCTTTCTCCCTTTTGGGGGCGGGGTTAAGAGGGATGGTCATATCCCGGTGCTATGGGAGTTCCCATAAGCAAAGAGAGTCTTGACCGAGGAAGCCAAAGGAAGCCCTCCAGATCGTGGTTCAATTGTTCAAAGCCCAAGGGAAAAAACATGCCCCCCATTTTCAGGCGGGCTTGGGCCATTTGCTTGCTCTCAACCAGTAAGCGCCTAGACGTGGCTGCGGCTCAACTTGCTTGCATCCCTATAGCTTGATTCCAACACTGCAACACCCCAGATTGCAGGGGTTTGGAACAGGAAGTTGCAGCATTATGTCTAGCAAGGGTCACAGTGCTTCATCACTCAGACCTTTGGTTTCCCCTGCTTGGCCCATTGTCAAGGGTCTCAAGCGTGAAGCTTTACTCCTGGATCCCTGGTGAGATCAAGGACATGGGGTGGGTCCTTGCACCAAGGGGACGATTTGTTGGGTTAGTTGATCTTTTGTCTTGACTGCTATTGGGTTGGATCTTTGAACTTTAACTTTTTGGGAAATCCAGGGGTTTCCCACAAAACCGGGGGGTCAACAGCAACCAAGTTGTGAGCCTCGTCATTGCAAGATGGAGCTGGATTCAGGGAGTAATAGTTTTCCTTGGTTTCGCCTCAGTACCCTTAGTTAGTGCAGCCCAGGGGAATAGCCTGCTGAATGGTAAAATGGTAACCCTTGTCACAGGCTGAATGTTCAGACACTAACGTTCTTTAGCTCGTAGTTGGGCTTATGTGTTTCTCTTCTTCTTCTTCTTCTTCTTCTTCTTCTTTTTTTTTGTGAGGGTACCTAAGCGTAATAGTCCATCAAGAGGAAAAGCCAGCTTTTCGTGGTCGGGGGCCCCATCTTTGACGGCCCACCATTTTAGCCACTCGCTTTAACAGGACCAAAGTCAAACTTGCGCCTTCCGGTTCCTCGGAAGGCGCCCGCCTTTCTGACGGTCTTCGGGGTGGTGCGCAATCAGTACTTCTACCTGGGTGAAGCATCTGGGCAGAAGTCGAATCAGAGCCAACAGTCGTTGCCGGCAACTAGTTTAGCAAACACGCGCGTTGTCGCGAGGTTTCGATGGTTGACTTGAAAGTGTGCGAAGTTTGAGGAGTTTCTGGAGGGAGCTACCAAAGACACTGGACTTTCTCCACGGGTTGATGGATCGATCTTTTGCGTTTAGTAAACCTTTGCCTACCCACCAGCCTTGGAACATTGTAGGGGATGGATATGTTGACTATGCAACTGGGGGATGGATGCTCCCCAGTTCAGAGAAATGTAACTTTGATTTGATGCACGCATGTCCCATGACCAGACTTAAGTCACCATTTTGCCCACTTCTACTGTTGTTTCCATTTTGGTGTTCCGTTCTTTTATCCTTAAGCCAACCGACAACTGGGTGAGTCTTTTTCGGGGGGGGGGACCCCCGAAAAATGTGGTTTTTCCTGTTGGCTTCCCTGAAAACCCCGAAACAAATGGGGTTACATACCCCCGAAAAAGGTGGACCCCAAGTCCAATGGGGAAATCCTGTCGGGAGGAAATCCTGGCCGCTTTGCCCATAGCTGCCCTGAAGCTCGTCTCTGGATTGCTGCTCATCGAGATGTCTGAGCCGGGGCGAGAAGGCCACGGAAAATCCATGGAGTTCTTTTATCCTTCTGCTTGCAATTTTGCAATCGCTGGGGTCATTATGTTGATGGTTTCTGGCGGGGTTGTCAAAGTCAGACATGGGGTTGTTTCCCTTTAACCCACTTAATGTTGGACTGTTGGACCTGCTTCAATGTGACCCCCAACGGTGGAAACAGTCTTCTGGATCCTCTTTATGGAAGATCGTGGGGGTCTGGGAGTGACAGTACTTACTTTAGTATTGCCAATTCTACTTCAGTATTGCCAAGGCCGGTTTTTTCAGCAACCCCCCAAAAAGGCTAGACACTAAAGAGGACCGTCACATAAAAGAGGATCAGGGCTTTTTGTCGGCACCCCCTCTTTGCTCGAATGTTTGCCCTTGTTTGTTTTGTATAGAAGTTATCTTGAATTTCATGGTTTGCGGACCGCTGGCAAACTGGATTTCCTTGACCCAAGGCCTTTACCAGTTGAGCTGGGGAGAGCTTGGTTAGGTGCACCGCCTTGGACACTAAAGAGGGTCCCAACACAGTCACAGTAAATAGGATCAGGGCCTTTTATCGGCACCCCCCCTTTGTTCGAATGTTTGCCCTTACCTTTTTATAAAGAAGTTATCTTAAATTTGTTGGTTTGGGGGCAATTTCAATAAAAGGAATTCCGCTTGTTTGCCAGGATTTGTTTGCCAGACTTCTTCGGCTAGTTGTTCTTGATCCGGATGTTTCCCGGCATTTCTTGTTTGGGTTTTTGTTTTTTGGGAAGCACTTTCCACAATAGAGGACCCCAAAACAGTCCAACGATCCTGAATTAGGAAAACAACGTTACACAATACAGGCTACTGGCATTAAAGCGTGACCAACATTGGGGGGTGACTTGACCATGGTAGAAAATGGAGGCCAGTATCGGCCTTTTGGCATTCATGTTTTCCTCCCATTCGATGTAAGCCTTGAGCCCAGCTTTGACCCTAAATCCAAAGCTGTTCATCAATCATCTACTGGGCGCCATCTATTGTCTACCAGAGACTGCCTATGGCTGCGAGGATCCGGGGATCAGAGTGGGCTTGTCATCTAGGGTTGGTTACAACGGTGGCCTTTCTTGCGCATCCCGCCAATGTTGAACAGCCCGGTGGCTCTGTTTTGCGGGAAGGGCGGTTGGTCGAACTGGCCCGGGCGGCGCAAGCCGCTCGAACCGAACGCATTAAAGCCACATGGTAGTGGTTTGCTGATGTGGGCGTCGTATCATCTGGGTCTTGTCACGAAACGGACGGCGCCAGTTGGATCCAGCTTCTGGCATTCTGATCTACCCTCTTACCAATTAACAAGGAACCTGACCGGGGGGGGGTGGTGTGGTTTGGAATTGCCCTTTCAAAGGGACCAGGTCTTTGTCAGTTAATTGGGTATGGGTTGCTGGATTTGACGTCATTGGCTTAAGACGCAGGAGGCTAAACGTGGCCGCACTTGCGCCCAGATGATGACGGTGTTTGTGTCGGGGATCCCTACGTTTCTTTGGTTTCCACAAGTCAACGCCCCTCCTTGGAACAACAAACTCGGCAAATTATCAGCGGGTGTACTCCCAGGCGGTAATGCACAAACCCTTTGAAAGATTCGAACAGGAAAAACATGCAGCACTACCAGGACAACATCGGTAGGTGTCAAAGCCAATGAGTTAAATGGGTGTCATGTCATGGGCTTCCCTTAAAACCTATGCTCAGGTGCCTTTGACACATCCCCGTATGCCCAACTGCCAGAGCTGGCGCAGTCGGACTCCATCGCAAGATCGGCGCTAGCATATCCTATGTCACCCCTTCGTGCGGCCTCGTGGAAGCCGCGTGAATCAAGCGAGCCGGAGGTCTACACATGGAACATCATTGAGTCAAACGGCGGAAAGGACAATCCCAGGTGACAATACATATGTTCAATTCTACGGGTTATTGGTCGCAAAATCAGGGAACCCCCGCAAAATGGCCTTGGAATTCTCCTTAGCAAGCCTTAGCTTTGTTTAGACAAGTTATTAGCTTTGAGAAGGGGATGAGAAACCGGACATTCCAGAATTGTCTTTGGAACTCCCTCGCGAGGCCTTTGCTTCGGACTGCTGGGCACCGTGTACAATGCCAGCGCGCCCTTTGCATCGGCGATCAGTAACCAGACCCTTGGCACCACCGCTCGGAGCCCCCCCGGAGAAGCCCCGCTGAGTTTCACCTGTGTGTGCGTTCTATTTTCACAAAGACTGGCACATTAAATTCTCAAGATTCAATTTTCAAGCAAGGCATGTCATTTTAAGAAAGACTCCTCTAAGTTTCTATTTAATTGTCCGAGGATCTTTGGGAGCTTCAAGCCCAGCTTGTCCGACGTCGTCGCGTTCTCAGATCTCAAAATCGGATCAACAGATCGAGTCCCAAGGTTCGAATTGGCCAAGGGTGTGGTAAGGGGATGGGTGCCGTGTTTTGTGTTTTTGTGTCGTTTCTTTTGGGGGGCGGGGAACTTCCCAGATTCTCAGAAACCTTCGCTTGTCCACGAGCCTTGTCTGGAGGCTGAGATCTGGAGGGGCCTTTGGTTGCATTCGCACCTGAGGCGAATTATGTCCAGGATGACCCCAGCTTCCGCAAAACGGTTGCATGGTCCTATGTGGTGACCTATGGCACCACCATGGCGGGATTTGCATTGATCCGCTTGTGCCTTGCCGAGAAAGCGTGCATGTTGATCCGGGCGCGGCTGGGCGCTTTCTGGAGCATTCCCCTTCGCTTTGTGTCCAAATGTCTAAAAAGGCAACGCAGATGCCAGGCATGTTGGGGTTCCTTGGTCCCCTCGGACACCGCAAGGATGGAATATCATTTTAGTGCCCACAACTTGGATATATGTGTTCAGGCCTTCCTTCAATGTAAACACAAGCGCCTCCCGAGGATTCCAGCTCAGAAGGAGGAGGCCCAGAAGAGGAAGAAGGAGCATGGTTCGTGCTAAGAGCGGCGCTCAGGGGTAACCAAGGCGGTCATGTTTACAGTCGAAGCACGCTGCCGCCTTTCAAGCGGAACCATGATTAAAAGAAAGCAATACACACCCCGGATTATTTGAAGTGTTGGAAACTGACACTGAAGGATTGAATCGCCCGCCTTGTGCCAGGAGTGGGGAAGTCATTGGCTCTATGCTGTGCTCGCACTCGCTGCTTGCCTGTTAGGGTGGTGCCAAAGCAAGAAGGTGAGGTACGACCATTCCCTTCTTCCCTTGACACATTCAAAGCTGGTTTTGTTTTTTGTCTCGCCCGCATTCCGAATCGGAATGCGTCTTTTGTTGTTTGGAGTTTAGCAGGACTTGTCATGCCTGTGTGGGCAACCATCATGGCTTTCTTGAAAGGGAACCAGGCGCACACGAGGTTTCACCATGGCTCATCTGAATTGCGTGTCACTTTTAATAGCAGCGCAACGACAAATACATATGTCTACACATGTATATATATATATATGTAGATAGATATTTACATATATATTTATATTAGCTATTTGGAAGGTGGCTCCACTGCCAGCTTCAGGGGGGTTCCTACATGAGCCTTGCACCAAGCTTTGGGACCAAATGCTCGGTGCGGTTCGCCCGCTGTTTCGCCAAATCGGCTCTCAGGGGTTTCCTTCCATATGCCTCCTGTACGCCACATCGGCGCGGGACTCAAAGCCGTCCAGCTGGTCTTAAAAAATGGGTGCGTCTTCTCTAAAGAGAACCCCCCCCAAACAAAACAGTGGTTTTCTTTTGGCTTCATTTGAAACCAACCCACAAGGGTCCCCTCACAAAACCCCTTGAGTGGTTTGGGGCTCGGAAAGGGGCAACTGGTGAGCAAGGGTGGGGTCCAGAGTTTTCAGCTACCGTCGAAAAGGGATGAAGTGTTTTTGCCCCGAATGCATTGCGAAGAGTTCTTCCGGACAAATCACTAGCCGCTAGACGCTAGCAAACTTGCACGAAGAAGCTTGCCCGAGCACGCTTGCATGCGCAAGATCACTTGCATGAGCACACCTGCGCACGCTTACACGAGCACACTTGCATAAGAAAACTTGCACGAGCACACTTGCACAAGAAACGCACTTGCAGGAGAATACTTGCATGAACACACTTGCGCGAGACTTGCATGAGCACACTTGCACGAGCGCGCTTACGCGAGCACTCTTGCATGAGAAAGCTTGTAAGAGCATACTCGCGTCAGAAAACTTGCATGAGCACACTTGCACGGAGCATTTACGCCTACGCAGAGCAACTTGCACAAAGAACTTGCGCAGTGCAACCTGCCCAGAGCACTCTGTACAGAGCACTTGCACAGAGCACTTGCACAGAGCACTTGCGCAGTGCAACTTTCACCGAACACGTGCGCAGAGCAACTTTCAAAGAACGCTTCCACGGGCAAACTCGGGGGAGAAAACTAGCGCGAGCACACTTGCGCAATCAAACTTGCGCGAGAAATGTCGATTCAAGTTTGCTTTGCAGTGCCCTTGCTGGACTCCATATTGCTAGCAAAGGCAAAGACCGCATTTGACATCATACTTACGCCGCCCACGCTACATATTCTGCTTTCGGGCCACCCATTCTATTGTTTACTGAGGGTGCATTTTTTGGCTAGGGGTTGTCTGCCAATCAATTACATCATTTTGGTAGCAGTTGGGAATTGCTCGGGTGGATGCAATTGTCAACGCATTGCCGGTTCAAACATCACCGTTTGGGAAACACATTCGAGGTGGCTTTTAGTGGGGCACTGTTTAAAGTCGCCACTAGGGGTTTTTGGACAGTCGTGTACCTGCACAAAGACCTGGCAGGTACATGAAAGGGATGACTCGCTAAACAACAATTTGCTTTCACCCACCTGTTGGCCGTTCCTGGTTAACATCACCGTTTGGGCAAGCACAAAAGCTTGGGATCATGCTTCAAGGGAAATATCGGCGACCCTGGTAGGAAGTTTTGGGCAGTGCTAGGGAAGTGAAAGGGGAATGACCTAGCCACGGGAAAGCCACGCATTTTGAGATCCACCTTCGCTCGCGAGGTCTTGGTGATGGCCAACGTGGACTCGGTTTCCTGTTTGGAGATCGTCGGCGGGCAAGGCTGCTGACATCGAGGACTGCAGCTTGGCAGTATCCGGGATCCGGAATGTTCAAAATTTCAGGGCGGCGGCATCCCCAACAGCAACCCCGGATTTTTTGTCCGGATGAAGGTGGGGGAGGGCGTTCCATTGTAGAGAGGATCCAGGCGCTACAATCCGCCAGGTTTCTTTCTCCGGCTTCAATGTTAGATGCCGAGCGCAGTGGTTTGTGTTTGTGTGAGCGGTGGCAGCTGCCCAGGTGAATCAATTCCGGAAGACCAGATGCACTGCAGATTTTTGTGCGCAAAGATGCTACATAGTCTACCGAGAATTCGCCGGACTAATTGTCCCCGTTCACAAAGTGACTCTGAGTGACAACCACTTGAGCATGCATGAGAACAGCGAAAGCTGATCGCTTTGACTGTCAAATTTAATCTATTGGAGTCCATTTGGAGAGCAGGGTGGTGCACAACAGCCCAAGTGACTCAGAGATGTTGCAAGGTGGTCATGGAGTTTGTGCCACACCTTGCCAGGCTCTTCCTTGAGGAAGGCCAGCTAAAGAAGGACTCCTCTTTGGGCATAATCGAGAAATGTGTTGGAGAAGTTGTCCACATGGCCACTCGGATGACTGCTGTGAAGGCACACCCGCATAGCTTAGAATCCGGGCGAACATCTGAGAGGTTGTCCCATTTTGGTTGCCATGTTTGACCAACAGCGCCCCCAACCGCCCCTTCCGGAACTCGTGAAAATCGCTCCGAAACAGAAAGCGGCGCTCCGATGGGTTTGACCCCACAGCTTTCAGCTGGGGACAACGACATCAGTCAGAGAGGCTGGCCATGGTAGCTGCGCACTCAAGATGCAGCAGCGGAGCTTTTCCGAGCCGAGAGGGCTCTACACCTCGGATCTGGGTCGGCCCTCCGAGCCTGGTACTTGAGGGATTTTGGTTAGAAATGGTCCTTCTTGGTACTTGAGCAGTTTTTTGACATAAACAAGAAAATTGGACTTCTTGACTTCTTGTGTGTTCATCAGGAATGGGCGCCATGCGGATGGCCAGGTGCCGGAAATGGGTAGGCCATTCGGATGGCTGCGTGCCCAAAGTCCCAAATTCAAGGGCCAAGCGAACTGAGGCCGTGCAGATCCCCGCGTAGATCCGCCCACAGACACTTCGTGTTCCATGGGTGGATGTAGAAAAGCTGAGCGTCGGAGAGTCTGGTCGCGCCATTTCGTCAGCAACACTGAACCAAGGGAAGGGTAGACGACGTAGACGAGGCACTACACTGGCATTTTATTTGCATTTTTGTGCATTTGTGTGAGGTGATGGCGCCATGGAGGCAAACGAATCTGATGGCGCTCATGATGACAAAGTGCACGTGAAGGCGCCCTGAAGCTTTCAGGGATCGAGCAGGGAATGTATGTGCCCTTCAAGCAAACAAGAGAAGCAACGTGCTGGTGCAATAAATAGGGAATGAGGGAATGAACCTTGGGGCCCCCTTAAAGAAAACCATCAGTGGGATGGTTTATAGGGGTCATTCCTTCATTCCCTGCTCAGCACCAGCAAGGCAAATAAGCAACTTGGAACCGGGCAAGGAATACCTGGGGAAGGGGCTTATGGGCTTATGTGGCTGCAGGCGCCTGAGTGCATGGAAGGGGACTGCGAGGACGTGCTGTTTGATGCCGAGGAGGCGTGCGGAGCAATTCATGTCCAGTTCGTGTCGAAACGAAAGATGAAAGTGCCAATCTCAATTGAGCCATTCTGAGTCGCACCTCAAGGGCAACTTTCTGTCCACTAGCAAGGGAGGACTATTTTTGCAAGCCTTTTTCCACAACAAAGACAGCTCGGCTTTGGGGCTTGGTTCGAGAATCACCAGGGGTTTTGGCTCCCAGGCTTCTGGAGCCCTGAAAGCTGCCCCAAAGGCTAAAGATCGTTTCCAGGACTCCGTGAGGTGGATTTGGGGTCATAGCCTCCGTCCCGTTCCAGTGACCCCCTGGAATTTCGGACAAGCTGTCGGTTGGGGAACCATTCCGGAGCTGGGGGTATCCAAGCTACTTTTAAGGAGGGAGCCTTGCGGAGCCGATCGGAGTACTGGTTGGGGACATAGTAGAAATTTGTTGCATTTTGAGGGTTCTCAAAACGATGTTTGTTTGTTTGTTTGGTTTGGTTTGGTTTGTTTGTCTTGCCGCTGCAATGCACCCCTTCAAGGCACATCTTGGGGAAAAGCGAGCAAGACGGGGTGTCGCTTTCAGGACTCGCAGAGCTGCAGCGAGTCGGGCGAGCTGGCAGCCCCCGAAGGCGCAGAGATCGGCTCGGTGGAAACCGATGGCTTGGCAGGTTGGCAGTGTTTTGTTTGTTTAACTGGGCCCCTTTTGATTGTGTTCCTGCTGGTTTCCCTTCAAAAACAACACAGAAAACAGAAAACTGGGCCTTTTTTTTGGTTCTTGGTGGTTTCCCTATAAACTTTAAGCCGGTTTAAACCAGGATGAAAGGGGGCTAGCCTCAAAAAGGACTCCATGCATGGGTCGATATAGGGAGGACCCGAAGGGGCGGGTTTTCCTCGCGTTTTCCCTTGAGACCAGTCAGGTGCTTGAAAAGGGTGCGGCACTCGCTGACATATTCTTGGGGCTGGCTTTTCTTGTGGGTGAAATTTGTGAAGTGTGGCCTCAAAGATTGATACCGTGAAGTTAGTTCTCGCTTTTTGTTTGGGCCCCGTGAAAGAGGTCAAACTCAAAACGGTACCGATTTATGTTCCTACACTGGTCACTTGGCAGCTGGCAACATGAAGCAAGGAAAGCATGTTTTAGGAGAGAACGGCTGGAAGGCCTTCCTAAAGCTATCACAGAATGGGATTTCAGGAGTTGTCTGGTTTGCAGGAACCCTTTGCTTAACAACAGATCCTTGCCAGATCCCCGCCCCAAAGATGTCGCCAGCCTGGCTGTTTTGTGGCTTGCACTTGTTGGGTTCTGACTCGCGTCGCGCATCCTGATCGGAGTTCCATGTGGTCCATACGCCTCAGCCTGCCTCAAACTAGGGAAACTTCTTTGGGGGGGATGGCTCACAATGTTCACAAGCCAGACTTTGTGGGGGGCATGTGCTTTGCCCATGTGAAGGGTTGTCCACAACTGGGGGTCGACAAAGGTGAGGGACACCTTGTGTAGTGTTCCCAGTTCCTTGGCACGTCGGGTTTCCACGGGCTGCCGTAAACCCCAAAGCGGGTTCCCTGTTGCTTTGTTTCGGGAAACTGTTTGCAATTCAATTGGGCGGGAAGCCGGCAAGCTGACCTGGAAACCCAAAGGTGGTCAGCAACTGGAGTTTCTGTTGATTGGTGTTTCCCACCAGGCCCAGATAGGCTCCGCGGTGGTTTGGGGCAGGGTTCCGGAAAGGATACTTGATTGAGTGTTAAAGACGTAACATTCCTGCTGGTTGCTCCGTAGGTCAAACTTGCACCACGTAGCAATTCGACCACTGGATGTTCCCTAGAGAGATGTAAGTCAAACAGGTAAGTTCAATACCTGCCGGAGTAGTAAAAGCCAGCACCCAATCAGGGCACACCAAGAACTTCTGGGGGTGTCACTCGTTCAGGCCACAAGCAAGCCAAGCAGGGCCACCCTTTTGAGACACACACCCCTTGCGACTGACCCCACCTTGATCACTCAGGGATGCCGCTGCCGGTGATGGGCTCCACGAGTTTGCCATTCAATGCCCAGCCCTCAGATTTGCAGGTCGTTCAGCAACTCTGCTTGCAATTAGCATTGTGATTGTCAGCATCATGATCATCATTGATTGTCATTATTTGGGTTGCTATGAGCATCACGACTATCATGATTATAAGTTGTCACATGTTTTAGGCGGGGATTCTCGTGCAAGCACTGTCAAGCTGGTTACCCGTTAAGCATCACGCCCATATAGCCTCCAACCAGCAGGCCCCAAGCGGTCTTCTAAGAGGGGTCTTCCAAGAGGAGCAACTCATGTTGGTGCAAGGGTACGTCCGATTGGTGGTCCGAATTGGGATTGGATCCCTTGAAGCCAAACAGCAAGGTACCCTTTGGCTACCTCCAAAATTAGCTGTGGATGAAAAACATCCTGCATCCACTATTTATCAAACCAAATATAGTTTCACATCCATCGCGCTGGATTTGGTCCATGCACAGACCATCACAGACCCATCCAGTAGATGTTCCTTTTGGCCAGGTGCTTGCAGCAGCCAAGTACTCCTGTCAAGTAGCGAGCCGGAAGCTCGGAAGCTCGAACGCAACGAGAGTGAGGAGCCTTTTTGGCCTCAGGAAACCAGCGAAAGCAGGGAACTTCCAAAAGGAACCCACCACCTTTTGGTGGTTGCGTTTGCGTTTTTGGCTTCAAATTGTAGATTCGTTATTGGCTTCTGGCTTATTGGCTCCTTTTGCCATGGGGAATAATGCTGACCCCTGACTTTTTTCACACCCCGACTGTATCGAGCCCTTTTTAGCGGGAATCCTTTCTTCCAGGGGGGCGTTGTTTAATAACTGGGTGTACTTATCAGGGGTCAGCATAGTCTCATGTTTTTGTGGTTGTTAGGTTCTGTTCATTTCTAGAAGGAAGCTGGCAAATTTAGCAGGGGGCTGCGCACAAATAAAAACGTTTTTGGTAGGAAAGGCATTGACCTTCCGGAGGAATCCCAACTTTAAATTCAACTAGGTCCCCTACTAGAATTTAGACTACAGAAAAAAGGGTACCCTTATTCTATCCTCTCTACTGGAGGACCTAGCCAATGTTGTCGCAGTGCAGCTTCTGGATTCCGACAGGTCAAGGCAGCCTTGAGTCCACACCGGTGCCCCCGCATTTGAGACGGCTGATGTCCAGCACCCAGTGGAAAGCAGGGTGTGCCTTTTGGCGGTATCTCCTTTTTTATGTTCAAAGAATGAAGAGAAAAAACAACAACACCAAAATGATTTGGAGTGGTGGTTTGACAGTCGTGCCCAATAGATCGGTCTGAGTCTCGCAAAATAGATAGCATTGGTTTGAGCTTGTATAATAATTATATGTTCATCCTTGCAACGTGGAACCCGGCAGAAGGCTATTAGAGTTCCATGCTAGGCCGGCAATGCGGGGATACCACTGCCCATCCATGTTTCAACGTTTGTCCAAAGCACCTCTCCAATCCCCGGCGAGGTGGCTACGCTGGCTGGGCGTTGCGTGCTGAGAGTTGCGAGTTTTAGGGACTCTTGAGCATGCCCCAGTGCCATGGCCTGAGGTCATTCGCGGGCAAACTCCGCAAGACTGGCTGCGGGAATTGAGGCCTTTCGGCTTCAGTTTCCGTTTCCGACCGGTCCACAGTCCCAAAGCCTTTTCCCCCTCTTGTTTGGACCCAAACAGCGGGGGTTTCCAGAAGAAGTCCTTCCTGGGAGAGCAAGTCTGGCCGATTGGATCGAGGGGCCGTGGCAATGTCAGGCCCCGCCGCGCCAACGCCTCGGAGAGTGGTAGTGACCGAAAGAGTTAGACTCTGCTTTTTGTTGTGTGTGTTTTTTCATGCGCGCGCGGGCATGTGTGAGTTAGTGTTGTTTTTGTGTGTTTGTGTCTTTGCGTGTTTTGTGTGTTTGTGTTTGTGTTTTCCCCTCCTCTTTAGCATGAATAAGTGTGAGTTGTTTGGATTGAGCTCGTGAGGGTAAATGAGAACGACCGCGGAACACCTCCAAACCACCAATCCAATCCTCCAAATAGAGGGAAGCTGAGTGTTTCAAAGTTGGGAATCCCCTTACGCAAATGTACTCTCAGGTCAGTTTGCCTGACTTGGTATGGGTTTCAGTTTATCTCTTAGTTGGGCTGGTATGAAAGGACACCAGGAAGAGTTAGACGACGTCCCAGAAGATCCGCGAATTCGACACATCCTACCGGCAGCATTTGCTCACATTCAAAGCTTGTGCCTCAGGAAGAGTTCCGCAAGCTCGCGCAGGCGACAGATGGACTTTGCAACTTGGGTTGGTCAAATGGGTGCAACTGTTTAGGGACCCCTTTGGGTTGGTTTTAAAGGGGAACCAAAAATAAACGATCAATGTTTGGTGAACCCATAGTTTAAGACACACATAAATCAATCCGCGAGATCTTTAGACCAGATGAGGTTCGGTCAGTATGTCCGGTCAGCCTGCGGCGATTTGGGAGGACATAGCGGGGGGACTCACCAAAATTGTCCATTGCCCCATGTTGTTTAGCTTCTGTTTGCTTCAGAACACGTGTTATTTTCCCTCTGCTGGTTTTAAAGGAGTCTGCCACTATTGCAAATGTGTTGTTTTTGCCACGGGGCGCAAGAGCAAATGGAGGTTAGGGGAAGAATGAAATAAGTAATGATTTTAGCCGTGGCTCATGGCAAAAGCATTCCTTGGAGCAGTGGCATCCGGCAAACAATTGCCTTGACAGGAAGCTGGGCAGGTGCCTGGATTGTTTCCATTTTTTGTGGATGCCCAAAAAGCCCAAAGAGAACCTACGGAAACTGCCCCCCTTCCACAAACAGAAGGCATTTGTGGGAGGGACCTGGAAGATCATGTTCCTCGTGTAGGGACCCCCTCAAAAAAGAGGTGCTTTGTTTAGGGAGTGAGGGAAACTAGGACCTGCATGGTGCACGGCCATGGTGAATGTGCAGGTGCCTCGTTGTTATCCCCTGGTGTTTGTTCTGCCTCATGTCGTGAGGGCGCACATGGCACCGGATCGCAGACTTCGAAACTCGGGGGGCCATCGCAGTGGAGCGCTTGGCGCAGTTTTGGCTGAAGCCAAGAAGCCTCAGTTCAATGCTGTCGCTGAGTCGGGTCCTTAGGCCTAGACACTTAAGACACCTGCGAATCCAGCCAAGGATTCGAGGTAGGTCCTTCTAGTGCTGCGCCCATCGAGGGGTTGCTGGAGTTGCTGGAGTGTTAGCAACCCACAGCTTGGTGCAGTCAAGCAATGGAAGGCAATGTAGTACTTTGGGCCTGTACACCCAGTTTCCCTGAAAGTGCTCCATGCTGGTTCCCTGGAAGCGCGGTGTGAGGCACATGAGAAGAATGCACCAACCGGCAAATGATCAAATGGGAGGTTTTCTTCAGCAAAGGGGTTCCTCCATTTCCCTGCCTTAGAACTTCCAGAAGTGGTGATCGAAAGGACGTCTCACATCATCATGGCAAAGTCCCCGGACTTTTTGTTGGCCAATCCATTCTCGATCGGAAGGTGAGATTTCCTTGGAAATCGGAGCGCGGGGCCTCTGGCAGTCAGAGATGCCTCTTGGGCTGTTTTCCGCTCAGGTGCTGTTTTGGTGCTATGGCTGGCTCCTGCAGTGGCGGAGGAGGTGGTCACCCTGACAACTGCGAGCCTCGGAACAGCACCCTTGGATTCGATTCTGGAGCCGAACAAACATAGGATGTTTTGATTGCATATACCTGTTTTGGTGTTGTGGTTTTAAGGGGAAACCAAAAAGGGGAACAAAAAGGAGAGCCATCTTTTCGGGGGGGTCCCCTAGCCAAAGAAGACACACACACACATGGTTCCTTTTTCTAGAAACCTGTCCCAACAAAATCCGATACAAGTTGCTGGAAGGGTCCGCCGACTGGCCCAACTGCAGAACCTCCACATGATTAATTCCTCAGGTTCGCTCGAACAGGAACTGTTTGATTCCGTCCATAGGTATTCAAAGACTTCAGGTTGGTTTCAAGCTGTTTTCTTGGACGCCATCTTGTGGTCTTCTTTTGGACGTGACCATCGTGACCCCATTTTTCGCAAGGAACTTCGACCAGCACCTGCAGGCCTGCGGTTGGGGTTTGCAGCGTGCCACGCTGTCAGTCAGCCAACAGGGAGGGAGGCATCGGCCAAAAGAGTGGCTACACTGCCAGGTTTATTCCTTTGGGGCAAGTCTGAAGATTGCTTTCCGGGAGTAAAGTTCATGCTCACCACCACTCAACAGTTGATTCGAACGTGTCATGTCAAAGGATTCAGTGTCACATATCATTCCGATGCATATCGTCCAGGCCACAAAGGTGCTACTAGAGAATCGGTTGCAGAAAGACCGGTGCGCTTGATGAGGGGAGGCTTGAGGGGAGGCGCCCAGATCATGACAAGTGTTATGGTGTACGAAGGTGCTTCATTGTTGCTGGCAAGTGTTTCAGCGTGTTTGTTTTTGTTGACTCTGTTCATTTCCAGTATACTCGTACCAAGGGTAGTAAAGCGTGGGTGTGTTGATTTGGGGGTACCATGTTCAGGCTGGATTCAAGTTAAGCCAGCACATGTGTTGGGCCCCTATGTTGACCCGGGCGCGCAATGGATGGCTTGCAATGCAGCTTGAGCTTCGCTTCTGTGGGAATCACAGAGAATGTCTAAACCGAACTGTGCCATCTTTCACCCAACTGCAGTATTTTCCCCCCCGAGCCACGCCCCTTGGAGCTTCCTTTCTTCCCACAACCCGAAAAGCAGCGGGACATCGCTTTTTCAGCCGACGCGGACCTCGAGAGACCCATGTTCCAAGAACCAGGACAACAAATACGTCCTCGCGGAATTCTATGCCCCTTGGTGCGGGCACTGCGCCTTGGTTGAGCCTTGGGAGCTGCAGCGAGGGAGTCGTCTTTTTTTTGGTCCCGAGGCGACCAGCCCCCGAACTTGGGACAATGACCCAAACCAAGCCGGAGTTTGTCATGTCCAATGTGGTATTGCAAGTGGTGAAGAGGGGGGCTCGGGGCTCGAATTGCAGGGGCCCGCAAAGGGTGGCTGTTAAATTGTTTCAGGCTGTTTTTGCCAGCTGGACTGTTCCTTCTTTTTCTTTTTCCCGGAAGCATTGCGAAGGGTTCTTCTTCTAAAAGCGGCTGCAAACTTCACCTGCCAACTTCTGATGACAACTTTTCGAGAGTTACTTCACCTGCTAGCTTCTCATGCCAGCTTCGCCTACCAACTTTTCGGGATTTATGTCACCTGCCAACTTCTCATGCCAACTTTTCGATAGTTACTTCATCGCATGTCAACTTTTTGGGTGTTATCAGTGTTATCTCATTATCCTAAAATCACAAGCTAACCTTTGGGGTGTTCCTTCACTGTCCTAAAAACACAAGCTAACTTTTCTTTTGTACCTTCACTTCTCGACTCTTAATTCTTCTTCTTTTTCTGGCGGGGGTAGGCCCGACGGGAGCTTACGAAACGCACCGCTCTGCGGAGATCGTGCGTGTCGAAGTCCCATACTTGGGGACTCCGAATGTCCGGTTTGCGAATCTTACGGTTCGTGCTCAATGATCGCGCATGCTTCGCTTAGGCAAAAAGCTGACGCCTGAATACGCCGCTTGGAAAAAAACAAAGATATCGACCTTGCGTGGATCATCTGGGCGGATAATTTGGGGATACCTTCTGAAGGATCTCCTGACCCCCTCTGAAATGGGCACCCAACTAGAATCCCCCATTCCAGAGGAATGTCCAGATGAATCCTGACCTAAAAGACGCAAGGAGAAGGCGGCTGCAACCTTGAAACCAGAGGGAATCTCCCTGGCCAAAGTCGATGCCACGGAGGAGGGGCTTGGGAAGCCATCGAGCCATGGCTGCGTCTCGAAGGTGGTGCAGAACCTCCTGGGTTTCGATCGGATTCACGCGTAAACAGCGCAAAAAAGGAAAGCAAGCGGATTTCTACGTGGTTTCTCGGGTGGTGCAGGGTCTCGTTTATTTATATGGTCTTTCTGCGCGGTGTCAAGCTGGCCAGCCCCCTGGCCGGATCGGGCCGGGAAGTTGAATCGGGAACCCTTCGAAAGTGGTAGGTGAACGCAAATCCCCACCTAAATGATGTCCACCAAGGGGTCCCTTATGAAAATTCAGATCCATTTGCTTCGAATTCAGGCAACAGAGTGATTTATCTCCTGGGCGATGTTTGAGCCTTGCCATGAAGGAGGTGCTGGGAGACTCTCATTTATCATGGAAGACATGAGGCTATTTCCTTGTGATGTGGAGTGCGTGGCTCTTGAATTGGTTCACTGGCCAAACTAGCCGCAGATGCTATGCGCCCACAGGCTCTGAAGGGGTGCAAGGCCCCTTGTATTATCCTAGTAATTTGGACATTCAGAACCCAAAATCGTGGGATTTCCTGGGGTTGTGTACCTAACAGAGCTACCAGAGCCTTCCGTGGGATGAGGTGTTTGGGTTCTTTACCAGGATCCCTGGTGTTCGCCTTGCAGGAGAAAACTCTGGCGAAGAGATTCGAGGTGAAAGGGCCGCTCGGCACCCGAGTTGGAGCTGTCAGGGCCGTGGCTTGAGTCGAACCTGACATATTGCCCATAAAAAATCAACACCAGACGTGTGATTTGTTATGCTGTCCCCTTGGTCCAGGGTGGGCCCGGGTGGCTAGCCTTTGGTTGAAGCTTTTGGCTGCTGTTGAAGCCCGAAGATCAAAAGGCATACCAAAGCGTTTCTGTTTGCTGACAGGATTCTTGGTGAGGGGATCGAAATGAGGAAGGCAAAGCAACAGCCTGCTGAAACTTGAAACTTGCCGAGACATACTGGTCTGCTTGTGAGTGATTGGAAGCAGGGTACACCATTGTGGTTTCTCAACATCAAATGAGGGACCCCCAAAGGGGCCGGGTTGCAAGGGAACGTATAAACAAGACATTTCACCCATTTCCAGGTTGCAAAGAAATCATTGCCAATAATTATTGATTGCTATTGGGTTGGATCTTTAGACTTTAACTTTTCGGAAATCAACAAGTGTTCCATTAAACCCACACAACGTGATCAACTTTATGCAGAGGGGTCTCGCCAGCAACCGAGGAAGTTTCACTGATTTTCAGTCAGTGTCTTGCTACCCTGAGGTTCCCGACCCTGATCTGGTTTGAAAGCCAGCAGCGGATAGAGTACACGGGGGGCCGAACCACTTCGACGATCATCGACTGGGCGCGGTCCATGCGCCACAGATGCGTTTCAAGGGCCCGTGGTTTGGGAGGTCGGTCTATGAGTTGAAGGAACTGGGTGGCTCGTCTTTTCTTTGAGGGCCCCTTTTTGGTTGGTGTTAAAGTGAAACCAACGGAAAATCCTGCGTTTTGTTTTGGGGGGGTCCCTAAAAGAGGACACGCCCACATGTGTTTGGGTTTAAGGGGATCCCCAAAATATGTTCCTGATGTTCTTTAAAAGCATAGGAAAAGGGGCCACAAAAGACACGTAAATTGACGAGAGAATGTCAACAGCTACGGACATGTCTAATTTTTGCCCTGCTTCAGCCGCAGTCCAAATAAGTCTTCAAAGGTCGCTTTCCCTGAGAGTTGAACGACAGTTTGACCAGGATCACTTAGGTGAGAACTTTTGAGGATCTGCAGCGGTGGTTTTCCATTGAGTGCCCCAGATGAACCTGGGGTTTCCATCCTGCGGGTGGCCTTGAGACTTTCATTGGGACGCTTTGCCCTCAAACGCTGGGTTCGTTTTGGGGAGGGCTCGTGGGCTCCCGACACCTTCCCTGGGATGGCGTGATGTTAGGAGAAATACGGGGAACCCTGGTTGGTAGTTATGAACACCACGAATGCAAACAAAGTGTAGCCACCCTATGAGGTCTATTTGTTGGTACTGTGCCTCAGAAGTACGTCCATTTGCTTAAGAAGATGTGTCATTTTCCCCTGGCTGTCGCAGGTGGAAATCTTATTGTTTTTGTATTCCAGCTGACTTGAGCAAATGGAGGAGTTTCTTGGCACACGCCAGTCCAGAATTCCAGTTTTTGATGACCCCAAGGCTTTTAATCCAAAGCTTCCCATGCGGAAATCAACCATGGGCTGAGACTTTTCTCTATTTGAGTTTTACGTACTTTCTGCCAAGGTCGTAAGGTCATTCCAGTGGCAACCGAATGTGTTTTGTTTGGCTGATCAACTCACGAAGTGAGTCTACCTTCAACTACCTCGGAACTCAACACCCTGAGTTCTGCATGACCGACGGCAAAAGCGCCGAGGACAGGCCCCGCAGTCACCGAGACGGCAGAGCCGCCGTTGCCCGGTGACGCGATGCCCCGGGTGGTTCTGCAGGATGCGGTGCTGCAGCCAGTCTTCGAGCAGGTGGCCAAGGATCACCGCAGGACCGTTGAGACCGGTGGGGAGGCTTGGGGTTTTGCCTGAGTTGTCCCAAGCGAGTTGATCTAGTTTCCCCCTTTTTGGTCTACTTGCCTGACTCGCCGTTGGGCTACTGAGGTGTGGCTGTGTTCTTCTTTTTCCGGGAAGCCTGCAGGAGATTCTACGAAAGAATTCACTTGGTTTGTGGTGCATTTGCATTTGCTTGTCAAATGTCCTGAATTGCCAGTTGGGTCCTATGCGATTTTTCAATGAGGGCTGGACAAATGAAACAACAATTCGCCCAGCAACGTTCCAGGAAAGCCAGCTGGTACTTCCAGAAGACTGGAGGCCCTACGACCATCTCCTTGCAGCACGCGGGGGAGGAAGCCAGGGCTACCTGAAAGTTACCCTTCCTTTGGCAACCCCAGCAAGGGGGTTCCTCGGGCTGGCGTGTTGACATCCTCAAAGTTGCCACCCCCCCTTTTGGGCTGGTCATGTTTGTGTTTTCTTTTTCGCAGACCAAAAGTGGTGAGAACCTGAGCTTCTAGGAAGCCATGCCGTTCACCGGGGCCTTGGAGAATGCGACCTTGACCAAGTTCCTGCTGGACAATTCCATGCCCCTCTTTGGGGAGCTGAACGGGGATTCCTTTGACCGCTACTTGGAGGTTGGGCCTCGGCTTTTTTGATACACGCAAACCCGCGCTGCCGATCAGAGGGATGGACCCCCAAACTTGGTCCATCTTTTCATCTTGGGGCTCCCAGATCCATTGTCCTTCACTGCTGTTGGCACGTTGTTTGCAGTAGGGCGCGGCCAAAGAAAGGATATGTTTTGCTGCCATGGGGCTGGAAAGTTCCCAGTTGATTCCCCATTCTTTTCAACCATCCTTCTTTCCGAAAGCTGGCCGTTTTCCCTGGGTTCGGATCCCTGGAATGAATGGGGAAAGGACCCCTAGAAGTGCCAACAAACGGAACAAGTCATGAACCCGGAGTCTGGAGTTCCAGAAATCGAAGCACAAAAATCCCCAAGGATTCCATTTGAGTGAGGGGGTGAGGATTTTGTCCACGCAAGGGTTTCCTCTGTTGAAAAAAGGTGCAGAGGTCTTCAAAACGTGCAGGTTTCTCGGTTATTGTTGGGAAAAACAGTGGGAAATCTCCACTTAACTGCTAACAATGGAATTTGTTGCTCCTCTTTCAACGTCAACCAAGGTTTAGGAGACCTCTTGGAGGTGTCACCCCAAAACTTGCCAGCCCAGCGGCCTAGCTGCCTAGCGGAGGCGGGCAAGGGCCTGGTGTGGAGCCTCTACCCCAAGAAGGAGCAGACCATCGAGGAGATCATGGCAGAGCAGCGGCCCAGCATGTCGGAGCTGGCGAAAAAGCTTCGGGGGAGGTACTTCGTCACGTCCACCGACACCGTGAAGTTCAAGGACTCCAATGACTCCAAAAACATGGCCATGGTTCAAAACCGTGTTGGGATCCCATTTTGGGATAGGTGCACCATTTGTGTTAGTCTATTTTAGTGGGGATTGGGATGTTCACTGGGGGTACGGGGTTTTGACCCATGGCCACATGTGCGAGTGATTGGAAGTACACTAATCAATGAATGAGGGACACCCCAAAAGATGTTGGGATGAAAATGAGGGAAAATGAGGGACCCCAAAATGGGGGAGCTTCTCCGGATCAAACTGAGGGAACCCCAAAAAGGCTGGCGTGCAAAAGGAAAATATAACCAAGGCATTCCACCTGCTTGGAATGGCGGATGTGAGAGTTGCCACTGAGTTGCCACTTTTTCTTCCCATGCGTCGCGGTCCAAGTCCACTTTCTGCAAGGCGCAAAAAGAGGACCGGAAGCCCAGGCACCTCCAGTACAATTGCTGGTACAGGTCTTAGGTACCATTCTTAGATACACATAGGTGTACTTATACCTACGTAACCCCTCCGCCCGGAAAATATACAACATAAGACTCCATGTGCTGCTTACCCTGGTGGGCACTTGCCCTCGGGCCCCACGTTTCACCTTTTTTTCGAGTTGGAGAGCTAGGAAGACGAGTGGAGAAGTGAAGAATGGGAAACCTAGCTTTGGTGTGCATGCCAAGATGACCCAAAATCCTCCCCCCCTCCTCAGTGCTGTGCAAGGATGCCATCGAAAGCATGCTGGGGGTGACAGCTTTCCCTGCCGTCGCCGTCCAGAAAAAGGCGGGCGACAAAAGGAAGTTTTTGTTCGAAGGCGACATTACGGCCGACAAGGTGGCGCAGTTTGTTGAAGAGTCTTGGCTATGCGCAGAAAAGGTGTCAGGTGTCGGTGATTCTTCGGGGCCAGTGTTGGTCAGGTTGGCATCCAAGAATTGCTTCCACGCCCTGGAAATTGCAA